GATTGCGACGGTACAAAGGAACTCTCAATGAAAGCACCAATGTTAGTGTCAAAACCGGCGGATCTCGGGTAGGGGGTCCCGAACTGTGCGTCTAGGCGGATGGTAACAGGAGACAAGGGACACGATGTTTTACCCAAGTTCGGGCCCTCTTGATGGAGGTAAAACCCTACATCCTGCTTGATTGATATTGATGATGTGGGTATTACAAGAGTAGATCTACCACGAGATCAAGGAGGCTAAACCCTAGAAGCTAGCCTATGGTATCAGGGGCGGATCTAGAGGGTGGACAGGGTGGGCCACGGCCCACCCTGGAATTTCAGATCAGCCCATATACTATAGGAGACATAGAGTGGTAAAAAAAAGTAAAAAGCCCATCAGTAGCTAGTACCAGTTCACCACTGCGCTGTGGCCCAAGACACTTATTAGGCTGACACTCACCACTCGTTACCCAAACTAGCCCAATGCAAGCAGCTTGCTTCCCTGTCGCTGACTGTCAAGTACAATTACCATCGTTGATTTTGCTACAGCACCGTCGTGACATTGACGCCACCATTGCTACATGAAAACTGGGTTTTGTTTCACTTTCCACACGGGAATATTTCTGCAAGTAAAGAATATTGATGTGATGCCTTTTTCCTAACCATGACAGATTATTTGATTGTGTAGTAAATTTCCTTCATTTTTTTATATTTCTTTAAGCTATTCGAGTTATCGTCACTATGATGCAAAAAAAGAAAGTTCTTGCTACTTAGACCTTTTAGATATGACATGGGACAACGTCTGCTGTTGTTTATTTTGAACACCCAAATTTAAAATCCTAGATCCGCCGGTGACATATCATATTTGTGGTCAATTTTTTTTCAACATGGACCACCCTGTTTCAAAATCCTAGATCCGCCACTGTATGGTATGATTGTTGTTATGTCCTACGGACTAAAACCATCCGGTTTATATAGACACCGGAGAGGGCTAGGGTTACACAGAGTCGGTTACAATGGTAGGAGATCTACATATCTGTATCGCTAAGCTTGCCTTCCACGCTAAGGAAAGTCCCATCCGGACACGGGACGAAGTCTTCAATCTTGTATCTTCATAGTCTTGGAGTCCGGCCGATGATGATAGTTCGGCTATCCGGACACCCCCTAATCCGAGACTCCCTCAGTAGCCCCCGAACCAGGCTTCAATGACGATGAGTCCGGCGCGTATATTATCTTCGGCGTTGCAAGGCGGGTTCTCCTTCACATTCCATGTGCCTGCCAAATAGTGTCCGTCTTCCTTATAAATGTTGCGCTCCTTGGCTTCCACGTCCAATAATGGCCCTCTTCCATGTGTCGCATGAATGCGAAAAGCTAGAGTATTTTTGTGTTTTACCCCCTAGCCACGCGAATGAGCTGCCTATAAGAGAGGCGAGGATCTAGATCCAACTCACACCATCCTCCTTTCGCAAGTACTCATCGAAGCGCCTCTGACAAAAATCCATTCCATCATGGATAGTCGACGCGGCTCCTCCTCTCGCGCTCCCAGCCCTCAGCCAGGAGATTGGGGGAGATGCTCAGTTCCACACAGCAAGCTAGTGACGCTCCAAACCAAGGGATATCTTCCCCCAGCCTTCATGGTTCCGGTTCGAGCTGGACTGGCCACCTACAGGGGTGGAAAGCAGGCGGAGAGCGTCCCCAATCCCTCCAAAGGAGAGCGGGTATGCTTCATCCCTTATCTAATAAGGGGACTCGGATTTCCCATACACCCGTTTCTTCGGGGGCTCCTGGAGTTCTATGGACTCCAGCTTCACCACCTTACACCTGCCTCCATTCTGCACATCGCGGGCTTTGTAGCTCTTTGCGAGATGTTCTTGGGCGTTGAGCCCCATTTTGCGCTGTGGAAGAGATTGTTTTGCCTCGTACCCCGTTCTCACGAGGGGTCGATATATCAAGTGGGCGGAGTCGAAATATGGCGCATCGCCGGGACCGGATATCTATCCGGAACCCCTAAGAAGGCGTCCGAAGACTGGCTTTCGGAATGGTTTTATATGGAGGACGCCCCTCTGCCGGATCCAGTTTGGATCGGCCTCCCGGAGTTCAGCAACGCTCCCTTGAAGAAACGCCTGAGTTGGCTCCCGCGGAGCCCTCAACGGGAAGATGATGGGAGCGTCCAATATCTGATGGGCCGGATAAGGTTACTGGCCCACTCCGGATTGACCATGATTGGAGTCATGGCCACGTGCATTATGCGAGCGGTGTAGCCGCGTCGTTGTTGATGATCGAAGAAGCCATTGAGCCTATCGGTGACGACACAGAGGAACTCTCAATGAAAGCACCAATGTCGGTGTCAAAACCGGTGGATCTTGGGTAGGGGGTCCCGAACTGTGCGTCTAGGCGGATGGTAACAGGAGACAAGGGACACGATGTTTTACCCAGGTTCGGGCCCTCTTGATGGAGGTAAAACCCTACGTCCTGCTTGATTGATATTGATGATGTGGGTATTACAAGAGTAGATCTACCACGAGATCAAGGAGGCTAAACCCTAGAAGCTAGCCTATGGTATGATTGTTGTTATGTCCTACGGACTAAAACCATCCGGTTTATATAGACACCGGAGAGGGCTAGGGTTACACAGAGTCGGTTACAATGGTAGAAGATCTACATATCCGTATCGCCAAGCTTGCCTTCCACGCCAAGGAAAGTCCCATCCGGACACGGGACGAAGTCTTCAATCTTGTATCTTCATAGTCTTGGAGTCCGGCCGATGATGATAGTTCGGCTAACCGGACACCCCCTAATCCGGGACTCCCTCATGGGGTGCTCTACATGGATGTGTAGATCGTTTGGTTTGTAGGAATTGTAGGATGACAAATGTTTATATTGTATTGATCTGATTTTCATATGGGATATACCGGGTATATATAGAAGTACATGATAGGGTATGTGCTTGGAGTACAAGACAAGTCCTAGTATGTTTAAACTACTCTATCCCTATCTATAAACTCAATATATATTCTAACACAGTTTACGTCAATGAGCTCTGGTTCCGCATCAAGCCATCATCAAGCGCCCCAACAACAGTGGCATCTGCGTGCTCCGCCTTCAGTTGCACCATGGTCACGCGCTGCTCCTCCACCCCCGCCATGGGAGAAGAGGTCGTTTGGCCCGCCGGTCGGAGTCGCGACCTCAACGACCATGGCCTTCTCCTCCTCCGCCAGGGCCATGGGTCGCCCTCCTTCTCTGAGCTCAGAGGCCTCAATACATATATGGGAGAAAAGAGGACGTGAGTTGGGGATGCCTTTATCCCTTGATTATTTCTTCAATTTTGGGTTCGAGAAAAACAAATCCTTCTTTATACTTCTTCCTTTTTTATCACATATTAAGTTTGTCTTAAATCAAAACTTTTACAAGTTTGACCATGCTTGCCAAAAAAAGGATTTACAATACTAAATTAATATAATCAGATCCATCACAGAATATATCTTTCATGTTTAACTTATCTGATATTGTAGATATTGATAGTTTTTAATATAATTTTGGTCAAGCTTTACAATATTTGACTTAAGAAAAACGTGCTACACGAAGTAAAAAGAAATTGAGGAAGTAACAATAAGACATGTTAAAATTATCTTTTTCACCAAGACGACAAATCAATATATTTCCCAACAAACAATTATTAGCAATAGACAAGACAACCTTTGAGTTTTGTAAAATAAAGGGACCATGTCTGAGCAGAAAATCTACTCTTTTGAATCGCACTTCGAATCCTTTGTGTTATCCTACCTAACTTTTATTTATACATCTTTTGACACACATTCATGCCATTGTTCGTAATTCGGAAAATAACATAGATAGAGGTATTCAAAAATACATCTTGCATCTTGCTAGTACTTTCTTCGTTCTATAATGTAATGTAGTGCGTATATACTTTCTAAGAAGAAAAACAAACTTCGTAAACTCTGACAACATATGTATAGATATATTATACTCTATTTATTTGATAATATTATTGTCGATTGCTTTTTAAAGTAAATTTGGGTATTCCTCGTGCCTCGGTTTAGATAGGTAGGGTTTTGGTTCTCGCAAGGGCGACGCTCGGGCGGATGGGGGCGCCTCTTCTTCGAGTCGGTCTTCCGGTTTCCGATCCTTCTCAAGTTCATTTGTCGGGACGGATTAGACGGAGCTCCTGCGTAGATTTTTGCCAGCTCCTCGGAGCGGCGAGGTTAAAATTTCTCATCGTGCGTACGCAAGGGTGAGATTTGGTCCTTAGGGGCACATACACGAAGACTTTCCGGCCGTCATCGACAAGGTCAGTCCGGCTCTGGTATGGGAGCGGCGATAGCGGCACGTCGGCGGCTTGTTCTAGTGGCGGCAATGGCCGTTCGGTTGTTCATGGACCTGGATGTAATTTTTTTTTGTTTGAGGTGATTTTGTACTGTCAGTGAGTTTTTATAATAGATCTGATATTTTAAAAAATATAATATTTTAACTCCAAAAAGGAAATATGGGCAATGCATTCTGGAAGGAAGGGAGTAGTTGATTGGGCTGTACCGTACTGTGAAACAGCATAAACCATAAAGTGATTCCAGAAATGCGCGTGCTGTTTTGCTGTGCTCGTGCGTGCGGCCAGTGGTGGTGGGAACAGGATACAGAGGGGGTGTTTGGTTGAGAAGTTTTAGGATTTTTTCTAGTCTCAGGGACTAATTAAAAAAAACTTTCTAATAGAGTCTTTTTTTAGTTCGTTCCTAGGGACTTTTCTCTGAGACTAAAAAGTCCCTGAACCAAACACCCCCAGAGTTGGGGAAAGGGTAGAGGATGATGGCATCATGGAGCTCGTCACCACCCACGGCATCGGCGCGGGGCCTGCGCCGCTCACCAGTCGCGGGCGGCGCCGGCTAACGGAAGGCGGGCGCAGAAGCATCTCGGAACGCCCGGGCAGCGAGCGAGCGCGCGCGGGGTAGGGTTCGGATTGATTGAGCCCGCGCCGTCTGTTTTTTTCTGGGGGCTCTGGCGCCGCCGGCCATGGGCGGCCTCCGCCTCTCCGCCTGGGCGGCCGCGCCCTCCCCCTGCCCCTCCTCCGCCACGGCGCGGGGCTTCCCGCGGTCCCCGTCGGACTGGCGCGGGTTGCGTGGGCGCCGCGGCCGCAGCCGCTGCGCCCCGTCGTCCCCGCCCTCGGCGTCGCCCGCGCTGTCTCTCGGCGCGGCCGGCCGGCTCCGGGTCGGGGCGGACCGCGAGTGGCTGTGGGACTGCCGCGGCGGCGGCCTCGGGGGAGGAGGAGGGGGCAAGAAGGACTACGCCAAGGAGATGGAGGCGGCGGTGCGCGTCGTCCAGGTCGCCTGCACGCTGTGCCAGCGGGTGCAGGACTCGCTCCTCCTTGCGGACCCCGGCTCCGGCTCTGGCGGCGTCCACTCCAAGCTCGACCGTTCTCCGGTCACCGTCGCCGGTTCGTACTGTCACTCTTGAGTATTACCACTAGTAGCATTCAGTGTTCAAAACATTTCATTACACACCCTGAATACAGTTAGCAGCCAAGTTAGTCAAACTTGAACTCTGCTGTATTGGTAAACTTATATTACTATTAGAGCGAGTCTAGATGCCTGAACGGGATGCTGCTTAGTAAGATTATTGGTGTTGAGTGTTGACTTTTGAATTGTGCAAGTGTGGTAATCCTTTTTCCCCATTCGATAAATAAGACTGCGTGTTTGCACTGGTATACTGGTTCGCCTGTTACAGTACTGATAGTGGGCTGCAAATGCAATTCAGCTTGCAGCCTCGCACTGAAATATAGTGGGTGTTTCAAGTTCCAACGTATCAAGAATGGCCCATATATGAATATTATGCAACAAATTTTGTCTACCCGTGACGTCACTGAGTACCCGGAGCTAAATGTATAAACATTATTATGCTATAAATTGGGTCTATGTGGTGGTTAGTTCCTAATAAATCCATCTGTATTCCTTATGCCAGATTGGGGCGTGCAAGCGACAGTGAGCTGGCTACTCTCAGATTGCTTTGGTGATGAAAATGTGTCAATCGTAGCAGAGGAAGATGATAAGACACTGTCTAGTAGCGACGGCACGGCTTTGCTTGAGTCTGTTGTCGCTGCAGTCAATGGTTGCCTGGTTGAAGCTCCAAAGTATGGGCTGAGATCCCCGGAGAAAGACCTCGGGCCTCATGATGTTCTTCAAGCTATACGGAAGTGCAGCTCTACCGGAGGTCCAAAAGGAAGATTTTGGGTGCTTGATCCTGTGGATGGCACGCTTGGTTTTGTGCGTGGGGACCAATACGCTATTGCCCTCGCCTTAATTGAAGACGGGGAAGTTGTACTCGGTGTTCTCGGGTGCCCAAATTATCCAATGAAGAAGGAATGGCTCAACTACCACCAACGGTACTACAGGTTGATGTCTAAGGTTGCTCCCCCTACATCAGGATCCTGGAACAAGGGTTGCGTGATGTATGCTCATAAAGGATGTGGCCAAGCTTGGATGCAGCCATTGGTTCATGACTTTGGTATGCTTAGTTGGCATAACTCAAGGGAGGTTCAAGTATCATCCGTCAGTGATCCAGTTTCAGCAACATTCTGTGAACCTGTTGAGAAAGCCAACTCGAGCCATTCTTTCACTGCCGGACTTGCCCATAGTGTAGGCTTAAGGTCAGTTCTTAATTTCACTGTCTATGTGGTACTTTTATTAACCATGATAATATTATTTCACTAGAGTGCAGAATTTATTTTATAGATTTACATGTGGTAGTTGGCATATGGTACTGCTGAATAGTAAATACTTTACATGGCCATTAGAATGAAGTGGTGGTAGCATTTTATTCTTGTCCCGTGTCATCTGCATGCGGGTTGCAAGTTTTGGCTTTTGGGTGCTGGTTATTGATTATTTTTTTGTGCTTGTTTTCCAGAAACCAGCCTCTGCGTGTGTACAGCATGGTGAAATATGCTGCAATAGCACGAGGTGATGCAGAAATCTTCATGAAATTTGCTAGAGCTGGATACAAGGAGAAGATATGGGATCATGCCGCAGGGGTGGTCATCATTCAAGAGGCTGGTGGAGTGGTAACGGATGCCGGAGGTTGCCCGTTGGACTTCTCCAGGGGTGTTTACTTGGAGGGTTTGGACAGAGGCATAATAGCTTGTTCCGGAGCGTTGCTTCATTGGAGAATTTTGCAAGCTGTTGATGCAAGTTGGAACTCATCAACGCTGTAATGCAAGCAACCCAAACCCTTGCAGTCAGACAGATGGCCTGATGCTGGTCATAGCATGCAAGAGTGAGTTTAGAAAGAACTTTTGCTCTGTTTTTATCAACCTCTGAACTAAAATTGGTCTGCCTCTGACCTTCCGATGTCTGTTTATTTACAGGTAACCCGACTCATTTTGGTATGAAGAATTAGTCTCCAGTATTCAATTAACGTTGAAATAGTGGAGCGTGTAGTAACCATAGCTTGTCTGCTCATAAACAATCTGCAGCACAAGATCGACGAACACCGTCATTTGTTCGCCAAGAGCATCTGTAAAGATGTTTACTGGCTATTTTGATGGTTTGTATCATCCGTTTTTCCCTCGGGCATAACTCATACGCTCCTTGGGTTGATGGCACGTCGACTAAATCATCAGTCATGAGCAGTTTGCTGAACCTGATAACTGGAATCTCTGAACCTTCGATAAACTGATCTCATGATGCATTTTCTGCAAATTTTCGCCTCTATATTATTATTATGCCTTCAGTTCTTCTCATTTTCCAGATGCTTGCGTTTCCTTGCACTCATATTAATGTATATAAAGTATATCAATCTCATGTGTATATATTCTCCATTGTCCACTCCACAAAGAAAGGAAAAATACAGTCACACGAATTTACCACAACAGCACAAGTAGCAATTTTTTTCATGGTAATAAAAACCATGATACAGACGGACTGACTGTGTGTACTGGACTGGACTGAGGCCTGCAAGTGATCAGCTGGAGAGCTGCACGGAGCAGCACTGGCTGAAGAGCTCCTTGCTGCCGTCCTCCACGTTGTTGTCATGGTCCATCTTGGGCTGGAAGCTGCTCCACGCCGGCGCCAGCCCCGGCGCGGCGCTGGTGTCGTAGCTGTGCACCAGCGAGACCGTCCTGAAGCTCTCGTCGTCGTCGCCGGCGATCTCGTACCCGGCGAGGAAGAAGAGCCGCGTCCCGACCACGGCCATGGTGAGGTACAGCTGCTGCGCCGATGGCGGCAGGTTGCTGGCGAGCAGCGCCAGGTCTGATAGTGCTGAGTGGTCCATGACGCTCCAGATGTTGAGCTCGCCGTCGTAGACCTCGACGTGGCCCTTCCAGCTGTTGAGGCAGTCGCCGGAGCTGAAGAGCCGGCCGGCCACCGCCACGATCTGGTTGGGCGGCACGTCCAGCTGCCACATCCCCGGGATGATCTCCCACACGCCGCGGGCGCAGTTGAACACCTCGGCGGAGCTCCGCTCCAGCGCCGACGACTGCGCCTCCCCGGGCGCGGCCGCCGGCGTGGTGCTCTCGGCGAAGCCGCCCACCACGTGGAACCCGCCCTGCCACGTCACGCCCACGCACTTGTACCGCAGCGTGCTCATGTCCGGGAGCGGCGACCAGCGGCCGGTCTCCGGGTCGTACACCTCGGCGGCGGCCGTGCCCCGCGCGCCGGAGAGGGAGCAGAGCCCGCCGGCGACGCAGATCCTGCCGCGGCACGGCGCGCATGCGAAGTCGACGCGCGGGACCAGCAGCGGCGCGCAGCAGCGCCACTCCCCGCGGCGCACGTCGTAGCGGAGCACGTCGGCGCGCACGCCCACGTCCGTGTCGCGGTAATCGCCGCCGGCCGCGGCCTCCCGGCGGCAGAGGCGGCCGCCGATGACGTAGACGGACTCGGCGACCGCGACGACGGCGAAGCCCTTGAGCACGTGGCCGTGGGGCACCCCCGGGAGGCCGCCGACGCGGCGCCACGTGTTGGCGCCCGGCTCGTAGCACTCGAGGCTGTTGGACGCGCCGTGCGCGAAGCAGGCGTATATCCTCACCTCGCCGCCGCCGCCGCCATGGTTGTCGTTGCCGGCGCCGGTGCCGCTGCTGCCAGTGCTGGACAGCGAGGGCGAGGTGGCCACGTCGCCTTCCAGGGACCCCATGGCGATCTCAATCACTTGTCGACGCGCTCGCTGCTCATCACCGCGACCAACCAGGGGAGTTGCAAGGAGGACGCGTGGCCTATATATAGGCGGGCGGGGGGAGCGCTGGGCCGCGTCCATGGCGGGCGGCGGACGGATCGAAGCATGGGGAGAGTGTTGGTCATTGGAAACTCCGGCCATGTCCAACGTAGCGTAAGCCGAGCTGCTAGAAGGCCTGTCTTGTTGCTGGAATGAGACGGCGGCACCCTTCGAGAGGACGGACGCCCGACGAAAGAGACGGGCGCCGTTTGACGAACAGTGCCGTGATCGCGTCCACGTGCCGTCCCGTTTTGTCAACGTGAATCGAACATGCGTCATTGCGTCATGCGTGCGCGAATTTTGGTATAGTCACGGGTAAACCCGCGCAACCGTCGGGCCGGGACCTTCATTTCTCAAGCCCGAGCCTGGCCCGAAGCCCGAAATACTTTATTTTCAAGCCTGAACCCGACCCAAAATCAAGCCCGAAGCCTAAAAGCCTGGCCCGAATGTTGTTTTTTAGTGTACGCAAGTGCAAGCCCAGCTCGAAATACAGAAATAGAGAAGCCTGGGCCCAGCCCGAACTATCTTCCGGATGGATGGAGTTGTTTTGTGTTGATCCTTAATCAATTGTCATCATTCCCCTTACTCCAAGTACCCGCACTTTATTCCCCTTACTAACTCCTTCACGGCACTGGATGTGGCCAAGGTGTTCATGCAGGAGATTTATAAGTTACACATGTTGCTATTAGGTATCATAGAAGACCGAGATCGCATCTTCACCAGCCAAGTGTGGCAGAAACTATTCCACCTGTGTCATACCGAGTTGAACATGACCTCTTCCTATCATCCGCAAACGGATGGACAGACAAAGAGAGTCAATCAGTGTCTCGAGACATACTTGTGCTACTCAGTGCACTCGTGTCCACGGAATTTGGCTAAATGGTTGGCCTTAGCTGGATACTGGTATAACTCCTGCTTCCACTCGGCTCTCGGACAGACCCCATTCGAGGTAATCTATGGGCATTTGCCAGGAGATTTTGGCATTTCCCAAGTGGAAGATGACACTTTGCCAGACCTAGCAGCATGGCTCAAACACTGAGAATTTCTGATGGAACATTTGCAGCAGCTGCTGAAGAAAGCCCAAGACACGGTGAAGGCTCAAGCTGATAAATATCGCACGAACGTATCTTTTGAAGTTGGTGATGCGGTGTTATTCAAACTACAACCGTTCATTCAGACTTTCGTGGCCCGCCCGTCGTCCGTTTCAGAAGCTTGCATTCAGGTACTACAGAAAGTACACGCACAGTTCAGACCAAGATTGGAGCATCAACATACCGTTTGAATCTGCCACCAACTAGCAAGATACATGTTGTGGTTCATGTTTCTCTGCTCAAGCGTGCAGAGGGCGCCACCATGCTGGTAAGTGCCGATCTACCACCTACTAACACTTTTCTACAAGCTCAACACATTGCGGCCTGTATCTTGGACCGGCAAGCAAGGTGTAGCGCAACCTTGCATCTTGGTGTAGTGGGAGGACCTCCCTGCATCGCTGGCGACTTGGGAGGATCCCCAACAACTACAACAGACATTTCCCACAATGCCGCCTTGGGGGCAAGGCGGCTTACAATGAGGGAAGAATGTCACGACTACTACCGTGTGTCACAGCCACTACGAGGACACTGACGCAATGGGCCCACGTGATAGCGAGAAGGGCGATGAGAGAGAGAGAGAGAGAGAGAGAGAGAGAGAGAGAGAGAGAGAGAGAGAGAGAGATGTAGGGTAGAACCCTAGTGGCCCGATATTTCACGATTGGAGGGGATTCCATGAAGAACACGAAGAACACGAGAGGAAAACACGAGGGAAACACAAGAGAATCACTCAACCAAATAAGATTCGATTACACATGCGCTAGATCCTCGAAACACAAAGAGATACACGATCCACAGTCAACTAGGGACGATACACGTAGCACGATCTTCTCCGTGAGGAGGTCTTGAGGTTCTTCCCGTGATGGGGTCTGAATCCGCTTGGGGGATCTTCTCCGAGGAGGCGCAATCTCCGAGGAGAAGGTAACCAAGTGGATGAGCAAAGCTCTCACACAAAAATGAGCTAATCCTTTGCTAACCCTAGAAAAGGGGAGGTGGAGTCGTTTATATAGGAGTTGGGGGCGAAGGGGTACATGGGCCTCGACCCAACATCATGCACGCAGGCACTGTCCGGATGATCTGGGTGTCGGTCCGGATGATCCAGGCTTCGGGGGTCCGGATGATCCGGGTCGGCGTCCGGATCGTCCGGCTGTGTCGGGGCTGCTGCGGGTGGTCTGGATGTCCGGATCCTGGCCCGGACGTCCGGGTGTGTCCGGATGATCCGGGACTGGGTCCGGATGATCCGGCTTCAAGGAGGCCGATTCTGTTGGCTTCGGGTGCGCTAGCCGGATCGTCCGGGCCGGGTTCCGGATCATCCGGGCTGGGGCCGGATCATCCGAACGGCGGTCCAAATCATCCGGGCTTCTGCTGATTTGCCCTTCTTCTTCTTCGACTTCGCGTCCATCTTCTCCTTCTGATCCGCCTTGCTCCTTAGCTTCTCCAAGGTACCTGAGTATGCAAAGTGTCTCCATTTGATGTAGTAACCATGTCTCATGTTCATCGAAGTGGAGTTGTGAGAGGAGAGATGTCACCTCGGTTTCGAGAGCTCTCGCGCGTGCTCGAGTCATGGGTCCACTAGGCACTTGGTGAGACGATGATAGGTCCATGGGGATGACCTTGGGATGCTCCGCATCATCTCCCCTCCCTTGGGAAAGATCCGACCTTGGATCGAAATCTTCATCACCATGGTAGGGAGAGAGATCGTTGACGTTGAAGATGTCGCTCACGGAGTACTTGTCGCGTGGGATGTCGATCTTGTAGGCGTTGTTGTTGTAGCATGCTAGCACCTTGAAGGGTCCATCGGCTCGTGGTAGAAGTTATGACTTGCGTTCGTTAGGGAAGCGGTCCTTGCGAAGGTGTAGCCACACAAGATCTCCAATGTTGAATATAATGGGTTGCTTGTTGACGTTGAGCTTGGTTGCGAATCATTGTACTTGGCGCTCGATGGTGTGCCTTGTATCTTCATGCATCTTCTTGAGGTGGTTCACTCGGGTGCTCACGTCCATGTTGATGCGCTCTTGTAGTGGTAGAGGAAGAATGTCCAATGGGGACAACGGGTTGAAGCCGTAGACGACCTCGAAAGGGGACTTGCCGGTAGTTGAATGTCTTGCATGGTTGTAGGCGTACTCGGCGATAGGTAGGAACTCCTCCCACTCCTTGATGTTCTTCTTTATCAACACACATAGTAGAGTGGAGAGTGTACGGTTCGTCACCTCCGTTTGGCCGTCAGTTTGTGGGTGGTATTCCGAAGAGAATAGGAGCTTGATTCCGAGCTTGGCACATAAGGTCTTCCAAAAGTAGCTTAGGAACTTGACGTCGCGGTCTGAGACAATCATCTTTGGCACTCCATGTAGGTGCAAGATTTCCCTACAAAAGAGATTGGCAACATGTGAAGCATCGTCTATCTTGTTGCAAGGAATGAAATGAGCCATTTTGGAGAATCGGTCCACAACAACAAACATGAAATCCTTTCCATTCCTAGTTCTAGGAAAACCAAGTACAAAGTCCATGCTAATGTCTTCCCATGGTTGATATGGAATTGGGAGAGGCATGTAAAGGCCATGAGATTGAGCTTTTGAATTAGCTTTGCGACACGTCGAGCATTGGTTGGTGAAGCGGTTGACGTCGCGAACATCTTGGGCCAAAAATAGTTCTTGGAGAGTGTGGCAAGTGTCTTGTCGCGTCCAAAGTGTCCCATTAGTCCTTCTCCATGAGATTCTTGCAAAAGCAACAAACGAATAGAAGACTCGGGGATGCAAAGTTTGTTAGCTCTCGTAAGATAACCATCTTTGATGTAATAGCATTCCCAAGATGTATGCGTCAAGCACTTGGCATAAGTAATAGCAAACGTAGGATCATTCACATACAAGTATTTTATGTGCTCGAAGCCAATGACATTTAACTCAAGTGTAGTAACAAGCATGCATATACGGGAAAGTGCATCGGCCACACCATTTTCCTTCCCTTTTATGTATTTGATGACATAAGGAAAAGACTCTATAAATTCACTCCATTTAGCATGACGCTTGTTCAACTTAGTTTGACCCTTAAGATACTTAAGTGTTTTATGATCGGTATGGATGATAAATTCATGAGGGCGAAGATAATGTTCCCATTCACGCAAAACTTGCACTAAAGCATATAGCTCTTTGTCATAGATGGGATAATTGAGTTGCGCACCGGAAAGTTTCTCACTAAAGTATGCTATGGGGCGCTTCTCTTGCGTTAACATACCGCCTATGCCATTACCACTAGCATCAAAATGTATTTCAAAAGGTTTGTCAAAGTTGGGTAAAGCAAGCACGGGGGCATGAGTAAGCAAATTCTTAAGCTCTTTGAATGCGGTATCTTGGGATGGTCCCCAAACAAAAGGCGCATTCTTCTTGCTCAAAGCATGCAAAGGTGAAGCAATGGTGCTAAAATCCTTCACAAATCTACGATAGAAACTGACTAAACCAAGAAAACTATGCACTTGTTGCAAATTGGTTGGTTGTGGCCAAGTTTGAATAGCATTGATCTTAGATTCATCAACATGAACACCCTTAGAAGACACAACAATACCCAAGAAAACAAGCTTATCAACACCAAAAGTGCACTTCTTCAGATTAGCAAAAAGACGCTCTTTCCAAAGGGTTTGTAGCATGGTTCTAAGATGGGTGACATGCTCTTTGAGAGATTTGCTAAACACAAGAATATCATCAAAGTAGACCACAATAAAGACACCAATGTAGGGTCGAAAAACAAAGTGCATGAGTCGCATGAAAGTACCGCGTGCTTCTGATAAACCCATAGGCATAACCAGCCACTCGTACAAGCCAAATTTAGTTTTGAAAGCGG